TAATATCAGGTCGGGAGCCAAGAATCTACATCGAGGAAACTTATTTTGCAAAACAACAATTTTAAACATTGTGAAATTTTATGATTTATTATTTTTATAAATTTTACAAACATATTATTTTATTTCAATAATTTTTTTATTATTTTATTATTTATTTTTTACTTTTTTATTTTTTATTTTTTATTTTATTATATATTATTTTGCCTCGCTGGTCGAATCGTGTAGTAACATTAGCATGACTTTCTCAGTATTACGTTTCTAGATTAGGTTCTATACATAAGAAAGAATATATAAATCATTCAACAAATAATGCTTCTACAAAAGGAATAGTATTGAAATTTAACAATGAAGAATATAAATATAATTAATTAATTCAATTATACTACAGCTGGTTTATGATTTCGTTTTAATATAAACACAGCAAGTGAATTTGTTAATAAAACTTACGCCTCTAATTACGCCTCTTTACGCCTTGACTGGATTATTGTTTACCACTTCATCAGACTAAGCAATAATTGACTTCAGATCTGCATACCTCCCCGAGGAGCTTGTAACTATTTTGAGATTTGATAACCCGTTGTTGGTATGTAAGTCTGTCAGTTTTCGTGAATAATTTCAGGGCTCAATCCTTTATATATTTCTTAATTGGATCAATCTTGAGGTCCCAGAGAATGTCGTTCATCCTAATATACCATGTTAACTTGAAAAGTCTTCTCAGAGCCTGGCTTTGTGCAATTTCTAGCTGGCGAATAGTAGTGTTTGAGGCATTACTAAACGCTACACATTCATATAGAAGTGACGGCTTCCTGTTAACATAGCATTGAGATTTTCATATTTGAATAGCGGTTGGAGGTATTTGAAGAATTTTTGCACAGCTAATTCTTTTCAGTTAAACATGTTTAAGTCATGTGTATCGTTTGTCCAACATGATACTGAGATATTTAATGCTATTCTCCCAGTTTATTATCATATCTCCTATTCTCACTCTCGATGGTTTCTGCCTCCACTTGAGTGATCATTTACTTGACTTTGATTTGATAGTACACATATAAGTAAAAAGCGACTACTATTTGTATAAGGCCTTAAATTAAAAATATAAATAAAACATTGTTCAAAATGAGCATTCACAATTTTTAAACAGCATAACAGAGTGAAATGAGGACAATGCAAAAAAAATATTATTTTGAGTCCTTCAACAGGACTTTTGGCCTTGCAAGAAACAATTGCACATTTTCGCTTTTTTTCAACTTTAGTTTTATGTTTCAATTATTAAGAATGCAAACCGCAAAATTCGCTTGAGCTCCCCTCGAAAGATTATAAACGGCGTTGAAAGTGCAACAAACGAATGGAAAATAAGTAAAGTTAAGTAAAAAAAGAATAGAAATGGAAAACTAAACTTATTCTTTAACCGTGTGACCGGCTTTAAATACTTTCAAACTTAATTGAGTTAAATAAAAATATAATTTTATTCAATATTTCACTTCCGTTTTGTCAGTCTGTTGGTCTGTTAGTCTGTTAGTCTGTCAATGTGTTAGTTATGTGTTTTAAATTACAATAAAATTATTTCGCAGGGGCAAAAGCGAACAAAAAACTGAAATTAAATAAAATATCCTTTGTTTTTTCTTTCACTTCATCAGTGTCAGCCATAAAAATCAACGTCAGTGTCAGCAACATTCGCTCACTGTTGCCAACATCCACAGCAGTGTGGCATGAGCGTGGCATCAGCAACATCAGAAGCAACAGCAATAACGGCAGCAACTATATTATTATTGTTATTATCATCAAAAAGCAGTAATGTCACCATCTTTGCTGCCACAATTAGAGTCATCGGAAGTCATTCGTCCTTTTGAAATGTAATTGGAACTTCCGCACAAACGTTGTGCATTTTTCCGCCATATACATTTTTTTTCGCGTAGTATTTTTAAAAAATTTTACTTTACTTTATTATTTGCTTCTTTTTCAGAGTTTTTCCTTTAATTTGAAATTTTTCTATTTTTCGTATCTGTTTTTTTTAATACAATTTCTTCATATTCACTACGCCAACAACTAATTGTCAGCAGATTCGTCCTTCAACAGGTTGGAAATGACAAAGCGAAATGTTGAAATTAAAGATGCCATACCATCGAGCAGACAAGGAGCGAGTGCTATAGTTTGAAGTCGTTCAAAAGGTTTTTTGCACGACTTTTTTGTATAATTTACGGATATTTCTTGTTTTTTTGAATTTCATCTATTTTTGCTCACTTTTATACTCTTTACATCGAAATTATAAAGTCAAAATATAACGAGCAGGATATAACGGGCAGGATATGGCGATATATAGTGTGTGTCTAAGTATGCATGTGAGTCTTGCTAATTAAAGTATAAAAGCAAGTTTTTGCTTTGATGTTTGCAGTTGTGCCAATTCAGATTTTTTAAATAATTTGTAAAAATTTTAACTGATATATGGAAAAAAATCCTACATCGAAAGATACACACTTTTCCAAAAGCAAAATAAATGTTTATTTTACTTCTATCAGTCGAAAATTTTTAAATAAAACTGAATGAAATACAAAGTGGAAGTTTTGTATATTGCATCTATGTATATAAGCGCAATTAGAGATACTGGACATTCAGTTGAAAAAGTTTGAAACTCATTTAAATGCATACATATATAATAAGCGCAGTATAGGATATTTTAGTTAAATGAGTACAAAACAAAATTTCTGCTAAAAATAATTAATATTGAAATATAACTAGAAAAAAAAATCAAATTCAACGAATTATTAAAAAGTATCCATAAATAATAAAATTCTAGTGAAAAAAGGAAAACATATCCAATAAAAATCAAATATTTTCTATTTTTAGTTGTAATATAACCCCGCTCTAACAAACCTTTAGTCCACCTCAGGACGCACTGGAAGTTATGCTGATCTACGGTCCGTCATCAGTTAGAAGACAAATAAATGGTAATGATTCTAGTATAGTTAAAGTTTAGTGTGAGCCAGGGATAAGTCCACAGCCATAAAAGACTAAAAGTGCACAATAGCACTAACTCAAATCATAACAACAACAACAACAACAACATAAAATAAAATAAAAACCATTTCATTTAATAGTATCTTTCCATTACCTTCGCGTATAGCAAAGCTGCTGACTCTACTATCCAGAACCTACAAATTGCTCAAAGTGAAGTTCTCCGAAGGCTCTTCAAAGTGCCATGGTACGTTCGCACGAATAACATGCTAAGAGATCTTAGAATAGATCCAGTCAAAAATATATAAGGGACACAGCCCTGAAACTATTTGCAAAACCGATAGGCTGCCCTACTTAGCACTAACTAATTTCAGAATAATCTCTACGGGGCGGTACGCAGATCTTAGATCAGTCATTGAATAATCACGAAGCTAATAAGGAATACACAAATTAATCAGTGAGATGGGTAGGACTTTGCAGAAACTTCCCAGCTATCAAAGAGTAAAAGTGCCCAGGTGCACTCACTTGGAAAAGGCTCAACATTAGATTAGACTAAAGCAGTTTATTTGATTTAAGGCGGCAATTAAGTTGATTAACCATATAAAAAGCTTTTGTGCTTTTCAGCTTAGTAAAGAATAAATACGGAAAAGTATACTAAAAATATCGAATGCAACATTGCGAAATATATTTCTAAAAGGGGAAATGACCGAAATTCGATATACCTATGTGACACACGAACCAAAATATAAATAAATAAAAAACAAACAAGTCAGACAAGACGTAGTAATGATTAGAAAATCCTACTATCTCTCCGATTCACCTCAATATTTCTAGCAAAAATCTTCGCATGTGCTCTTAGGACTTTCATGGAAAGGAAGTCTATGTTCTTACGGACAGTTAGGCCACAGGCCAATAGTGAGTGGATCCATATTTCCTTAGCAATCAGGTTAAGGTATACATGTTCAATGTATTCCAAGTGCAGAATCTCTGACTTGATACATAGAAGCAAATCAGAGATAACTAGGTTAATATCTGTCTTTATAGGTCATGGAGCATAAGACGTCATGGAGCTACACACGGCCTAACCTGTCGTATCTCCTGCAACGCAAAAAATATGTGGATATGTTGTATTTATATCCAGGCCTGGTTAGAACTACGCTTAGGTTTTGGGGGCCATTACTTTAACGCACTCCGCGTTATCTCCAGTATTAGCATTAGCCGGACTTTCGCCTTTATAAATGCTTCTAGCTGAGTCTAGTTCGATCTTCTTCTACCCACTATTACGAGGAATTGGGGATTCAAAATGGTTTTCTTAGTTAACTGAGGAGGATTCGTTCTTCCTTCCACTTCAGTTAACTAACTAACTAATAGATAAGAGGTAATAATTTTAAATTGTTTGTTTTTTTATAAATAAATGTTATACACAAGGCTACATAATATGGTCTCTAGTAGTTTCTTATAGTTACATTGTGCACAAGACTACATAATAAGGCCTTTACTAGTTTCTTCTAGTTACATTCTTTGTTCGACTTTCATCTGCGCGAGGACGAGATTGCTGGGTCAGTAGTTCTTGCCTTTGTTTGGTTCTTAGATTTGACCAACAGTTAACATATTGGTCGTTATTCGAACAGCGGAGTGTCTTCTATTCCGTTAGACTCAGATCGCAGAACACCAGATTAGTCACAATCACAGTGCCTTGTCTGTCTAGGAACCAGTACTACATATATGGTATATTCTTTTTAATTATAAAAATAGCAAGTAGTGATAAGGAAATGTCCAATGCATAAGTTTCTCTAGTAAGTATACTTCCAACTGTAACAATTAATTAAAGAAATGACTGTAGATAGTGCTAGCATTTAGCATAATTTTACAACACTTCTTGTGAAAACATATTGTAAACCTTATTTTATATCTAATTGATTTTTTTTTATTCGGAAAACAGGCAAATGTTTATACTATTATTTTTAATAACCTAACCCAGTAACATGGTCTTTTTAAAAAAAATTTCAATATGATAACTTTTAATTTTACATTCAGATATAGAAAAAGATTAAAATCCAACATCGAAATTTTTCTCTTTAATGAAGTTTAGAACTATCTTGGATCCTTCAAAAAACACTCTATCCGAAATTAATTAGTTATAGAAATTTTAACAAAATGACAACGAAAAAGAGCTCATCGGAAAATCTCGAAAGTGACAGATCTGAAGAAAGACCTCTAAGCAAATGTATCAGTTGTCTTAATACAGATAAAAGTATTGGAGACAACATTACTGCAGTGCTAATTAGTGACTTTAATTTGAGTGATTCTTCCGAAGCCAAAAGTTCAGACTCTGTTCCTACTCTTAATGTATTGAATACTAATCAAAACTTTGCTGAATTCGATAATACCAATACTGTAAATGAAAGTTTTAAAATTAGTATGACTCCTCAAACATGCAATTCCACTAAATTATCTGAAGAAGGTTGTTTCTGTGAATTCATTCATATTAGACCTAATTTTAACAAGAATATTTTTAGATAAGACAGTAAAAATCTGCGGTCTAGATGATAATAATGATCTTGATCGTGTTATGGGCAAAAGTCAATATCAACCGGAATTTAGTTCTGCTTGTGCTGGTGAAGAGATTCTTAATTCTATCAATGCTGAATGCTCTTTACGTGAAGGGGAAATTAATCCTACAATTTGTGGACATATTTCGAATTATTTCCGTAAGAAAAGATCTTTATTTAAACTAGTCGCTTATTTAGATGGTGTTTATCGCAGACGTTTGTCTGATGTTAATACTTTGTCAGAAAACAATGTGGAACTAGAAATTAATATGTACAAGAGTTGGATCTCGTCGTTAGAAAAATTGACGGACGCTATATTCCGGAACTTAAAGCAATTTCGCTTAGATTTGGTTCATCAATTGGCACACGAATTATTACGTGTGGAAGGGAAGAAACAAGAACAGGAAATAATACGAAAATGTATACGGGATACTGCTAAACTCAATAAAATCTATGCAGAAGTACAAACTACAGGTCAATGGCGTGTCGATTTTGATTTTGAGACTTCTGATAAGAACGATCTTTTGGATCCTACTAAAGAATGTAAATTTGAGAATTTATTCTAAATTATATCAAATTTACTGATACCGACTTATTAGTCATTAACAAATTTTGCTTTATATATATTTATAATCGATGTAATAAAAAATAATTTTATCATATATTTCAATAATATGAAGTTTCTATTATCGTTTGTGATGATTACCCAAATTTTCTTACTTTTATTTAGTAACTAAATATATGAATATATGAAATATTAAACATTCCGGAACACACGATTTTACATTTTTTTTAGTGCAAAACAGTCTCAGACCCAATACCCAATATGGTATATTAAAAAGTCGGTTCTGTACACAGAAAAACATATTTTTAACCATAATTTTGTTGAGTACCATAACTTTTTCTAAAGGTTATGGCATCTTTTAAGTTATCTTATGATCTAAGGATTATATATCTATATATGCATAGATGAAAAATAAACATTCCGGAACACACCATTTTATGTTTCTCCTCATCGCCTAACCTTCCCGCTTCCTCCCTCCTTCTCTCTGTTTCCTTCTCTTTTTTTTAGTGCACACAGTCCTTGAACCTAAAATCCAAATATCTTGGTTATATTAAAAAGTCGGTTCTGTACACAGAAAAACATATTTTTAACCATAATTTTGTTGAGTACCATAACTTTTTCTAAAGGTTATGGCATCTTTTAAGTTATCTTATGATCTAAGGATTATATATTAAAGTCCCTACAGTTTACTGTTTTTTTACAATAGTGCGCCTGTACTCCAGCTGTTCTTATTGTGAAAGTCATCATAATCTTTAAGATTTATTGGAAAGTTGCTTAGGCTAACATCAAGAGGGTATGATTTTTTACTAGGTATGACTAACAAGACTGAAATACAATCGAACCACAACTCCAGTTGTTATTATTAGAAGGGACATCATAATCTTTGAGATGTGTTGGAAAGTATTAGATACCCTATACGTGTATAGGGTATAGGTTTTGATAAGGTATGTTATCTAACAAGCCTTAAAATATTTATCAGTTCAATATAAGATTCTGCTCAATGAAAGGAGTTTATAGATACTGGAGTAATTGTCTGGTAATGGCAGTTAAGGTCGGTAAAATCCATACTCTACATTTAATAGAATCTATAGATAATGATATTTTTTAGTTGTATTATTAAAAGTTGATAGTTAACGGCAGAATCTGCATTCAAAAAGCCAGCGATTAATCTGAGTACAGACATCAGACATCAAATCCGCGGAAGATGTTTACATTATGCCAAATAAACCGCGCAGTTAGTCTTAAGGCTTCAGAGTTGGTTCAAGCCTGCTAAAACAGTTAGTAATCGATGTAACTTTGTGCTAAAGCAGTGTGACAAATAAATATAAAAAAATTTACTGTATCTTCTTTCGCAAACCGTTCCGTTGGCACTGAATACTTTAAATATCCTGATGATTGTTAGTTTATTCGTAGTAGGCAATTCATATGTAAGATTTTTTTCAGTTTCCGTTTTTTATGCCCGTGATTATTGAGATTAAATAGCTACCTGTTTACTAGAATAGATAATACTTTATTATTAGCAGTTTTTATTGTCTTTTTAACCCTTTTATTATGTATATTTCATATACAAGTACTTTTACCTGGTAAATATCGGGAAGATTTCCTATTAGAATAATTATGTAGCACCTAATTAAATTAGGCAATGGACTCTGTCCACAAAAAAGTTTTTAGCCATATTTTCACAACTCTATAAGTAAAAATATATTTCACTGTGACCAAAAGGTTATCTCGGGACTCAGGCCCAAGTTTCTCGTACAGAAGTGACAGTCAATCATGCGATACGTATATTGTAATGTTTTGGTTGAAATTAAACAGTTGTGAGAAGATCACAGTAGTAACTTTTTAATAAATATATATATATATTACACAAAAATTACTAAATGAAATCGAGTTCGTTCATTATATTGCCAATGTCATAAAAAGTAATTTTTTAAAAAAAATATTTTGAAAATTAATTGCTTCTAATTGCGCTAATTATTAATTTTTTTAATTTTAATAATATATTAAAGGCATTCATTTCCACACCACCTTTGAGGTAGAATGCATGGAGCGTTTTTTTTTACATGGTGTCCCCTTTAGGCCTAATCCATGAAATTGCGATTAAAACTTAAGACTAGATAAGTATAAGAGCAACATTATAGATTAATTTTGTTTTGCTTAAGGCTATATATTATAACAGTAGATGTGTATATATTACTGCTGCATGTTGGAATGTTCCCTACACCCACCACCCTCCTGAAATTAAAAGAAAAAAGGTCTTTATTCAGTTTAAAGCGATATTCAAAAAAAAATTGTTGAAATAAATTACTTTTTGAAAATAAGAAAATAGGTGGTTCTCAAATATACTTTATATATATAGCAATATATATTTTTTGAATAGTTTAAACTTTGTCATACCCTAATTAGTTAATCCGTTAAGCTAACTTATTCAATGTATGTGTAATAAATTAAGCATGGACGTCTATATCTTCCTCATCTGAATAGAAAACAAAGTCTTCGTCATCGGACATATCTTTAATTTCGTGATCAGTTAAAGCCGTATAACCTTCCTGAATGCAAAATAATAATAAATATATATAAAGAAAATTTAGATATCAAAAATATTTTCTGAAACAGAAATAATTACGGGAGTCACTTTAAACAAGTTTCTGCAGTCTGGACAAAATGGAGTCCGGCCCTTTTGTTGTAGATAGCTCACAAATATTTCGATACATGCTTTGCAATAGTTATGGGTGCATGGTAAAGTTGTAGAATTCTTCATTTCTGCACGGCATATTGTACATTCGATATCCATATTTTAGACTTGATTGCTAATAAAAATTATTACAGAAAATACAGGAATAAAAGTCTCAAGTAGTGAATTATTTCAAAACTTATGTGTAATAAAATTTTTTTAATTTGAAATATAATTGTTAAATTTATTACTCAAAAAATACAAAACCTACTAAGTTCAAAAATAATTTAAATATATTTTGACAATAATACTTTTAAAGTTTAAAACTAAAGACATTGTATATACGATGTTTATAATATTATTATTAAATATAGTACAGTACATTATATATATGAGATTTACTCAACGTATTTAAAAAGCCCTTAAGTTTGTGAACTAAAATATTTTTTTACTGGCTAATTGTAGTATTGTAAAATGTCTACAGATAACATTTGCATGTTTGGTAATAATGATGTATTACATACTTAATATCAAACAATGTATCGAAACAGAAGCATGGTGAACAAATCAAACCCGAGAAAATTCTTTTTTAAATTATAAACCACAAAATAGATAAGCCAATATATTAGTTTTGAAACTTCCCCTTCCTCTTCTTCTTTATTCCCCTTTTTTTCGCTCTCTCTTACTCTCTCTCTCTCTTTCTCGTGTTTTCAGATGAGACATAACTTTAAGAAGTATTTTCTAACAGCGGATTTTTCAAAACAGCATGATTTTTAGAAAGAATTGTAAAATCTATCCTTTTGAGCAAGAAGGAAGGAATTTAAAGGGAAAGTGCTTCAGTTGAAAATGTTTATCTGTATATTTGTATCCAAGTTTAATTCTTTGAAACCTCAGTTTTGTAATTTTAATCCATTATCGTAGAAGAATTAGATGACTTTGAAAACACAGGCGTCATAGATACAGGCAGTATTAAATCAGTCTTAATCAGTTGAAATATAAGAACAAATTTGAAAAAAATAAAAGCTCTTTTAAGTATATATTTATTAGCTTAATTAGTTAGTTATCAGAAAAATTTATTAGTTAAATTTGTTAATTAGTCTTTAATTGAAGTAAATAATCATTAATAAATTCAATTATTATTTAGCAATTAAATATTTATTATTTATTTAAAAATTCATTAATTAATTAACTAACTAAAGTATGCAATAAACTAAAATAATTAATAAATTATTTGAATTAATTAAATTAAAGTAAATATAATTAATCACTTAGTAATTTAATAAATCAGATTGAATAGATTTTAATTTTTAATTATTAATTATACTAATAATTGATTTATTTTAATTAACTATTTTAATTAATTTAATTAATTTAAATTGTTTTAATAAATAAATTATAATTTCAATAATGTCATGGGTATACCTATACATACATATTTCAGATTTTTGAGTATGTATGTATGTATCAAAAACGTTTTAATCAAAAAAGTTCGTTTTAAATAAATAATATAAATATTATTTAATTAAAATTATACAATTAATTAAAATAACGTTAAAGTATTTTTCTTGTTGTAGTTCACTACTTTTTGAAACCTC